ACACACACACACACACACACACACATACACATACACATACACATACACATACACATACACATACATATACATACATACATATATATGTATATGTATATGTCATTTTTTGCCATTTAACTTCCATTTGAGTATCTTTCAGTCATTTGATGGGTGTGTGTGAACACATTCCATATCAAAGTAATAGTGCAGAGTAAGAACAATGTCTGATAAAATTGCTGACAAAAAATCCTATCTCATAATCAAACTATTTCTCTCTTTTAATCAAATTTCAACCATATGGCCCAAGTTAAATATCTTTTCTAACCAAGTTGCTGATGCAAAACTTTGACTTGAGGATTTTTTTCTAAAAATACATGAAGCTATACATAAAGAATGAAACAAGACCGAGGTAGTCAATATACACGGTGGAATGAGAATCCTCCATGTGTTTGAGAGGGTGTGTATAGGACCTTGCCCCTACTAGGAAACAGTGATTCATGTGTGCGTATATCACAACAAACTTTACACTTTAGTTTTTACCTTTTAAGAAAAAATGATCTATAAGAAGTGAAAGTGGAAGTCTTTTAAATAAAATAAATTAACACCAGTTATAGAAGAGAGACTAATAAACAAATTAACCACACAAAAGTTTAACCACATAAGAAATTATCTAACTTTTATCCACCTATCCCATATACTTCTTTTTATTTTCTCACTTTTTGGCATTTAGAATTTGTGTGCTTAGTTTTTGTTTAAATTTGACTAAGTTGCCCCTGTCTATACTCAAATGAGGCATGTTGGAAATGTATACCTTGTGCAGCCACATTCAGCTCAAGATACAATTTCCTCTTTTTGACAGATGAACCCTGTGTATCATCCACATTCAGCTCTTGGAACAATTTTCTTCTATAAGGGGGTGGTAGCACCTGGGAAAATTGTCTTTGCTCGGGGGGTAGATCCGAGGATAAACTAATTCCCTGCAATAACACAAATAGAGACGGATGGGGATGTGGCTGCGGAAGTCTTGAAAAACCCAAAATCCACCAACAATCATATAACTGATATTGAAAAGAAAAGAGGAAAATAAAGCGGCGTGTAGTATTTTCCCCCCTCATGTATCTACTAGTAAAATACTTGAGATATTTCTTCCTCAAAACTGGCTAGCAGGAATAACTTTTCCATAAGTCATCTTTGGACGCTCAGCATCTGTCCTCTTAGCCACTCTGGGCCTGTTTGGGAATAACTTTAGCGATTAGCGTTAGCGTTTTGAAAAGGCTATCAACGAGCAGCGTTTAGCGTTAGCGTTTTCAAAGTAATCTGCACCGTTAAAATTTTATCCAAAACGCTAACGCTAATCTCTAACGCTATTCCCAAACAGGCCATCTATGTTCTAACCAGGGTCCGGCTAATGCTTATTGGATTGGCGATGGAGAAAACCCATCATAATAATAAAATAATAATAATAATAATAATAAATAATACAGAGTAATAAATAATAATAAATAATAATACAATAATAATAATAATACTCCCTCCGTTTCTTCACTTCACTTTGTTGGCCTATTTTACTTATCCATTTGATAAAATAATATAGTTATGTCAGCTCTAGTTTTATAGATCTTTTGATATAATTTTTAAATATATAATTTTTATTTTTAAATTTTACACCATTTTTCATATAAAATCATTTGAAAATAATTTCAGTCAAACACTGTAACGCGCAACGAGAAATTTATTTGTGGACGGGGGAATAATAATAATAATAATAATAATAATAATATAATAATAATAATAATAATAATAATAGTAGTAGTAGAAAACCTTGAAGCAGTCATACCTCTGATTTGGATCGGCGATGGAGATTCTTAACAGAGCCATTCCGCCCTGGTTCCGGTGCCTCCATATTTGCCGAATCCTTTTTCCGGGAAGGGCGAACAGTGTGGATCGTGCACTTATTAAGTAAATTAAAGTGAAAAAATAAAATTTAAATACAAGCATTCAATTATATCTTCATTTGTAACATTTAAGAACGCTTCCTTTTCCACATGACAAATCACACAAGAATTCAAAAACTCATCCCCCATTTGATTCTGCAAATCCGACTTCACATGTTTTATCGCTAAAAAACATCTCTCAACGCTTACCGTAGCTACAGGTAAAACCAAGGCGAGCTTCTATAAGGGATAGACCAAAGGAAATGTAAAATTTTTTACTAAATCTATGTCCAAAAATTTTTACTAAAAAAATTTCTCCATGATCTAAAAATATAAAATGAAATGATTTTTTTTTACTAAATCTATGTCCAAAAATTAGAGAAAATTATTTGTATATATCAATTGAGAATTAATATCTTTTTTAGAGACTAGAGTCATCAATTCATATATTTTGGGACAATTATAAATTATAACTAATAATAATCAACATAGTAAACAATTTCATTTTATGGAAAATTGAAATATAAAAACAAATTATCCAAAAGGTTTCACATCTTACACATAAATCTAATTTTCGGATTTATCTAATTATCTAGATCATAATTTAAAAAAGAAAGAAATTATTTGGAAATACCTGAAATTTGTACTTGTGACGGACAGGCGGCGACGCGGCGGCCGGGCGACGGCGGTGCTCGACTGCTCGGTGCTCTTGTTCGGATTCCAGTGTTCGGCTTTTCAGTTGCTCGGCCTGCTCCTGCATCTTGGTTTCCGCAATAGCCAAAGGAAAAGGGGAAGCCGTAATAATTTTAAGGGAATAGATTTAATTTTTGGAAATCTGGACAATTGGGCCACTTTTGGAATTGGGTCTTTAGCCTTTAGATAATTAATTGGTTTGGGCCAATTTATGGATTGGGGGTAGATTTTTTTTATTAGGAGCAATTATATATAAAAATTAAAAATATGCATATATATATATATATATATATATATATATATAAATTGACTGGGGGCAACTGCCCCCATATTCTATAGGGTAGATCCGCCTATGCACGGTACTGTGGATAGTAGAAATTGGGTTTCTCTGGTTCGTTGCTGTTTTCTACTTTTGTCCGCTTTTTGATCTCCAATTCTTTTTCTTCTTCGTTGCTCTTTTCCTTCGTTGTTATTAATCTGCACAATTTTTTCTGCTGGGGTTGCTTATTGGTATGAATCAAATTTGCTTTTTCCTGGAGAGATCTATATCATCACCTTTACTACTCCTCTTCTTTGATGATGTCGCCAACTGCAATTTTGTTTTGCTCTGCAACTATGGATTTTGCGTAAATTACAGATCAAACTATGAAAAAGAATATTAAAATATTATAAAAATGTATAATGTAAAAGATATGATTGGAGTGAGTATAAAAATCTTGATGTGTAAAACACTATTGATAGTGTAAACTAAGATTTATATTATCATTTTTTCCAGTTGGAGATACTCTAAGCCATTAAGGGCCGGCCCTAAGTTATTATAATGAATATTATATACTCCCTTCCTTCCACAAAACTCTTCCCCTTTCATTTTTTTTTGAATTCCTTAAAACACTTCCACTTTCCATTAAAAAACCACTTTTACCCTTACTTTTTCATACCATACCTATCACATCAAACTTTTTCCCTAATAACCAAACTATAACCAAACTATCACATCTTACTTTTACCCATCAAATCAAGGGCAAAATTGGAAAGTCAACCAAAATTACACTTTCTTTATTTTTGCCAAAAGTCAGTCAAAAGTGGAAGGGTTTAAAGGAACGGAGGGGGAGTATATAAATTACAAAGCCTGCTCCAAAAAAAGAGGCCCGATCCAATACTCTGTACAAAAATTGTGCGAAGACAACTGTATATCTTCTCGGCTGCAGAGTAGACTAAATTTTCTTAGGAAAATTCTAACACTATGTTTGTTTGGAGGTAGGGAGAGCTAGAGAGAGGTAGATTAAATTTTCTACCTTGTTTGGTAACAAAAATTGAAATAGGTAAAGAGAGGTAGGGGGAGGTACTGAAACAGACCGCCAAACAATCGGCATCTTCCCATCGCCATCGCCATCTTCTTCCGGTTCCTATCGCCAAAGGTATTCTAATCGTCATCTTCTTCTGGTTCAATAATCACTTTTTTTTCGATCTGCTCTGCTCCTCCATAAATTTCAATTCCGCTGCGTAATTAATTTTTTTTGTTTCAATTTCGATCGCCATCTGCTCCTTCGCTGCTCAATTCAGATAAGCTTTACATACTCCGTACTTTTTTTGTTCTGCTATACTCTTCAATTTCTATAGCCATCTCCTCACTTTTTTTTGCACTTCAATTTTCACTTTTTTTTTTCAATTTCCAGATTGTTTTTTTCACTTTTCTCGTTCTGCTCTCAATTTTCACTTTTTCAAATTTCAATTTCTTGATTTTAATTTCCTCCGCATATTACAATTTGCACTTTTTTCAGTTTCCATCTTTCTTTCACTTTTTTTCAGTTTTCGTTTTTTTTTTGTTTCCCTTTTTTTCAGTTTTCATTTCTCATCTTTTTTCTGTTTTTTTTGGTTTTTTTCTGTTCTTTTTTTTGTGCTTTTTTCTGGGTTTTTCCCCTGTTTTTTCTCTATAATTGTGCATTTTTTTAGTACTACGTTTTCTATAATTCTATTAGATTGAGTCCATACTAATTTTTTCTATAATTCTATTTCAGATTCATCTTATGCATTTAGTCCATACTAATTTTTTCTTTAATTTAAATAAATCTTTTGACCCGAAAGATAATTTCATATAAATACATCCTAAACAAATAAAGAAAAACAACCATAAGGACATTTTAGTAATTTTATTATTTTCCTACCTCACGTTACCTAATAAACATCCAAACACAATTTTTTAACTCATTACCTTACTTTACCTACCTTCAATTACCTACCATTACCTACCTAATAAAACGTTTACCTACCTCCAACCAAACATACCCTAAGACAATTTAAATAAGCGTGTAGATTGATTTTCCGATCTGTTTGCAACTTTGCATATGCAAATTAGATTGATTTGGGATTTCTCATGGAAAGAACTAAGAAAACATAAGAGAGAGAGAGAAAGAGAGATTGATGGCCTGTTTGGGAATAGCGTTAGCTATTAGCTTTAGCGTTTTGAAAAGACTATCTACGGGTAGCGTTTAGCGTTAGCGTTTTCAAAGTAATCTGCACCGTTAAAATTTTATCCAAAACACTAACGTTAATCTGTAACGCTATTTCCAAAGAGGCCCTGAGAGAGAGAATGATGGAGAAAGGTAATAGAATTGAGAGAACGAATAGAAGTGCTTGTGTGAAATAGGTGAAAGAACTAACATGAGAAAAAAGAAATGGATAATGAATGAGTGGTCTAAAATTTGCAAAAAAAGAAAAGTTAAAATTTTTTAATACTAATTCACAAATAAACTTCCTATTCACTATTATTATGTTAATTATTATTTAAATGTAATTAATTTAGACACTTTAATTCGTTAGGCTATTAAGAATAGAAATATTTGTACTAAATATCACTAAAACTTAAGTCATTTTTCTCGATAGCACTTAAATTGTTTTATTCAATTGTTTTATTCTCTAAATAGTACTTAATAATATCCATAATGTCCAGTGATGACGAATATTTGCTTGAATAATGACTAATGCATAATGACTAAAAGTGCTATATTGGGAAGAAAAACACATGTGGTGCTATTTAGGGAAAGTCATTATGTTTTAGTGCTATTTGAGTAAAATTCCTCTTAAGAATATTGCTTTTAGGGCCTTTATTTCTCTCTCGGCCCAGGCCATCGAATTCTCGGGACCAACCCTGAAGCCATTATATGTTCTAGTTTTAGATCTTCCCGTACTCACTGAATTATGTATGCAGGTAGGGATCAGGGATCGGACGAGCAGCCTGGACAGTGATGCCTTGCGAAGTGGATGTCCCGAAGTTGCGGAATCAGGATAAATTACTCTTTTGACTTTATTTTATTTGAATTACAAAAATGTTCAATGATATTGTTTTAAAGGCTTCCGCAATGTTTGATTTATATACTTCGATTAAACTATGAATTGATTTATTAAATATGAACGAATACTTTAATTTTTAAATATCTTCAAAATATTATGCATGTGAATACCAAATTAGTAGCGACCTAATTCGCTAATTCATTGGTTCAGAATATGCGAGTTGGGGTGTTACAATCATATGACGCCCACCATGGGGCCTGGCTTGTGAAAAAGTCAACCAGTCACCTTTTTCTTACCCCACGACTATGTCTTCCAGCACTCACCCAATCGTTTGCGGCCCGATTGTATCAGAAGTGGTAACCCCTTACTCTTGTGACAATGACGAAGGTGGGCATAACTTTTGATCTGGTCACATGTTTTGGATCACAGGGATAATACCGATCATGTCAACCCCCTCTCTTATGCCTACGACAACCATAATGTTTCCATGATCACTACCCACATTTGGGAGGTGTCACCGCCTATGCTGTTTCCACAAAGTTTGGCTCAATTTGCCGTTAATCTAGCGAATGCACAGGCCTTACAGGGTTATCATCAAGCGATGACCATGATGCAGCAAGTGGGTGGTTATATGGCATTTGCATGCCCTGGCATGCTCTCGCCAGGGATGAGTCCCATGTTAGTCTCAGGGACAGAGCCCATCAAATTTCGTGCCATGGATGTTCAACTTTGTGCATCCTATAAACTTCGCTACGACCATGGATGGAGTTGGACCCTCGAATATCCCAAGCACCTCCAAGGGCTGTGATGTTGCGGATCTAGAGGAATCACACTGAAGGAAGGGGAAGGTTATCGCCAAGCCGAGCAAGACTCGGGATCCGGAATTCAAATGACTGGGAGATATGGAGGATTGACCCTGCAAGTCAGCCAAGCTACGTCTTGAGCTTGAGACGGCTCAGGCTAACGCTTTTGATCAACTTAGCAGGAAAAGGGATATATCTCAATTATAGAATACTATGTAAGTAATTAAAACTTATTGTCTTATTGAGGATTGAATTGAGAAAACACTTTATTGTATTTGATCATTTTGAGAATTTACTCAATTTTAAAAGTTAAGAATCTTACTATATACAATGCTAGGAGAGATCTATGAACAGTATTCCCGCCTAAATGATGGAGCTGCCTTCTCGGATATGGGCTTGGCGATGGGCTGACTACTCAGAAATGGGCCTGTCTATTTGTGTCTAAATAACAGGTGATGTCAAAACAGATTTTGGTGCGTTGCTTTAGAATATTTGGTGTGTTGCTCAAGGAAAAATTTGGTGCATTGTTCAAGAAAAATTTAATTTGGTGCGTTGCTCAAGGGATATAAATGCAGGAACATTGTTTTTCTTCTTTTTAGTTTATTTCTATTTTCATTCTCTTTTCCATATGGTTTTCTTTTCTTTTCTCTTTTAGCCAATTGGAAATTATTTTCTTTCATTTTCTCTTCTTTTCTTTTTCTAAAATTCCTTGAACCAAACCAAACTTATAAAAAGATCTGATGAACGCCATGCAAACATCTTAGTAAATTCCTATTACAAGGGTCACTCTTAAGTTCTCATCTAATTGAGTAAAAATGTATACTAATACTTGCTAATTATGTGCCATTATTTGGAATTAGTGCCTTTTTACTGTAAATGAATGCAATTATGTAAAGATAATCAAATTTTGAGTTTTTAAACTACATTTCGTAAACACTTTTGCTAGTATATTAGTAAGAGGATATAGATTTCTTTGTATTATACTTGATCTGAATTCAATATTTAACATCTCACACTAAGCTTAACACAATCTCTGTGTCAATGAATTTGGAAGGAAAATAAAAGAAAATGATTCTCATTTTTCTCACCAAAATTGAACAAATTTTGTTTTCCTTTCTCAAAAAAGATTATTTATTTGCCATCTTATTTTTTCTATTTCTATTCAAGTTCTTTGAACCTAACATAGTGTAGGTATTTCATTAAGAATGTATCTTTATGGTGCTATTTGCGCAATGTGATTCTTTACATTTGTCACATTACAATTAAATGTGGCCTTTTTTTCTATTTTAGGTTTATGTATGCAACAAACAGTTGTACTTGTACTGGCAGCAGAGTGTAGCACCTTTTCAAGAATAATGAAGAGATAAGTGTTTTTTGAGCTATATCATAATAGAAGTTTCTTAATTTATTTGTTTGGAATATACTTTAATAAATTGTACACATCAGTAAGCGGTGAATGATGAAATACTGTTAAAAAATTGTAGTCCATAATATCTTTGCATCATCTACATCATCTAATGACTCGGTATTTTTGTGCATTAAATACCGCAGCGAGTCAGGGTTATGATGGATCTGGGGTAATCAAGCTAGCAAGTTTCTAAACTTTAGGTACTTATTATTTAATTAATTTGTATTTAATGCACAAAAATATACATCACACAAATTTTATCCACTTTCACAGGTTTAAAATTGTTCCTAAACATGAGGTGAAAATTACTATCAAAAGTGGATAAAATTTGTGTGATGTATATTTTTGTGCATTAGATACAAATTAATTAAATAATAAGTACCTAAAGTTTAGAAACTTGCTAGCTTGATTACCTCTAGATCCATCATAACCTTGACTCGCTGCGGTTTTTACAGGTGTCCATTTCCCGTGTTCGAATTTGAAGACATGCGGACGCTCTCGGCCCGGACTTAGGCAACCTACTACAAAGCCAGAATCATAGGCGGTGGTCATCTTTTCGTCGAAAGCACGAACTAATTCCTCCAAGTCATTTGTAACCTGCTTTAAAATCAGTAAATGTACTTAGAAGACTAAAATATGTTCTACACTACAAACTGTATTTTTCAGAGTAGTTATTTTGTTTCATTTACCTTGTTCTTTAGTTCGTTTGCAATTCCTTCACTTTCTTTGGCAGAGCCTGCCAGTTACACTAAAGCATTACAGCCTTTGATATGTAGAAACTTCTTCTGTTCATCAACTGAAATAGAGAATAGATTTTGATTAGCAACAAAACTTAATTTAATAACTAATTTTTTAAACACTAAGTAATCAATAAAAATATTTACCTACTGTGCCATTTTTGAGGCTAGATTTGCTGTCACATGCCATGACAATTTTTACGTATTTCTCTTCAGTGTCCATAAAAATGAAACCCAAAATTGTTGTTCCATGAATCTGTAAAACATATTTCATTTTTTATCATATTTTATTTAGCGCCTGCATTTACTAGATAGAGTTGTGGTGACCAAATAACCACATAAGACTTATATCATATTAATATCAGATCTATACTTCCGGTTTATTTTTGTTGCCATTCTTCTTTCATCACTCTGTATTATATCACTGTGAAATTAATCTGTTATTCTTCACTCCGTATAGTACCCAAATTTAATCTTTTTGGTTGTTAATGGTGCATTTGATAATACTCTTTAATGTGAAGAAGTTTTCTATATACTCTATCTTACTATTAATTGAATATCATTTTAAACAGTGTTTGCTAACCTTTTCCCTATGCTTGGTTTGTGAAATTCCAAATGAATAAAAAAAAAACTCTCTCTTTCCTTGGCTAAATGCAGAAACATTGTTTTTCTTCTTTTTAGTTTTTATTCTATTTTCATTCTCTTTTCCATCTGGTTTTCTTTTCTTTTCTCCTTTAACCAATCGGATATTATTTTTAAACACTATTAAAGAGTAATCAATATAACAAGTTTATTTCTATATTCCACCATCAAAAGAAGTTGCAACTCACCTCATCATATCCTGATGCTGCACTTCGCAAACAAGGAGCTGTAAATAAACAAAATCTGCTCAGGTATTTTTCTAAATAAAAATTATGGAACATCATCTTAACTCCTCTGGTAAGGGGATCAAAATTCAAACTTCTCATTGGCACAATAAGTACTATTAAAATTGTTGGCATGCAGAGCTATACTAAGAGGCAGAGAGATATCAATGTTGCTGCCATGGGAAAAAATGGCATGCTACATAGTTTATAAATAGCACTTGAATAAAATGGCATGTACACGTTGGCGTTTAATGTTTGATGCCTCTACATAGTTTATATATGCTATTGTCTGCAGCATCAGGGGGTCAGTACATAGCAGGTTGTGTCTAATAATACAGTACAATTTTTTTTAAAAATCCCAGCATATAAATTGAACGAGTCCGGTTCTTTTGACATTGGCTTCCGATCTCATAATATAACATTGGCCCAATTGAGACAAATATATTCATCCTCTATGATTATAATCAGAGGTGTTCTATCATGACATATGTGATTTTAGAAAAGGAGAAACCAACTAAAATTGTGAAATCATATGGCCAGGATGACAGATAAAATTGTAATTACATGTCAACTTCAGGTTCAACTCCTCTTGACATCAGGACATCTATTACTTTCTTCTTAACAGTCTTTTTCTGAAATATCAACGAAAAACCATCCATAGTTGAGGTAAGCATTTACATGTAAAGGATAACAGTCTTTTTCTGTCATAACAGATCAGAATCAAATGGAAATAGTATATAACAGTTTCTTACGGACAAGAGCCTCATTCTTCAGTGTTATACATAACTTGAATTATGGGTCAATATCTATTCAGTGTGTAGACAGCCAATTACCATTTTGAGTCATCAAATATTGGTTCTCAGCCCGTAAAAAGGACTTTCTCCTGCTAGGCTTGCCCAATTCCCTGCAAGCAAAATGAACAAGAAACTGGGAGACAATATTGATGCATGTTGCATCTAATAGTTCAATACAATTGTTTTTTCAAAAGAACAAAGTAATCCTAGTAGAATATAGTAAGTTGAATAACCCTACCAGTCCATCACAATGATGAAATTAATTTTGTGCAGTCGATGACCCAATTTGACAGGTTGGAATTATGATCGCATCTACTAATACAGTACAATTGTTGTTTCAAAGACGGAAGTAATCCTGGCATACAGTACGATCTCAACTATGATGAAATCATAGAAACTGAATTCTCATATTAGGGCTAATTTTGTGCAATCGTCGTGCAGACAACCAGAAATCGATGAAAAACTTGAGAGAGAAACTAAGATCGGATGATTAATAGAAGCGGAATAGTAATTACCATGTCCAGGTAGGAATTACGATCGCATCTAATAATACAGTACAATTGTTTCAGAGACGAAAGTAATCCCGGCATACAGTATGATTTCATCTACCATGAAATCATAGAAACTGAATTCTCATATTAGGGCCAATTTCGTGCAATCGTCGACCAGACAACCAGATATCGATGAAAGAAACAACGATCGGATGATTAATTGAAGCAGGATAAGAATTACCAAGTCCAGGTAGGGCATTTGGAGACGGGATTATCGCCGGCCAGGATGAACTCGTTGACGCTGAGAACGCCTCTCTCTTTGAAAGCAGATTCGGTGCTAGGACTGGTGATTCTCTCCATCGTTCGCTTGAATACCAGCTTCTGCAAGAGGACCATTCTCTCCGCGCACTCGCTCCAATTGGAATCAGCTCCTCTAAGTTCGTCAATGTTCTCGCCTTCAAATGTTGCGAACAGCGGGACAAAAACGTTTAAAACTCAGTTTGCACAATTGCACCCTCGAAATTATTAAATGATATAATGCGCCCCGAAAAGTTAACTTTATACTACCTCCCGCTATATTGGTCCAATTTTGACTTTTGAGACTGTTCATCTAAGCATTTTGACTCATCAAATTCTCTCAATGTGTGAGCCTAAATATAGTCATGTGTGATTTTGTTTGATTTGTCTTAACATATAAATTATTAATATATAATTTTTCTAATTTTTTAATATTCAAATTACAAGATAAAATGTATTAAAGAAGTGCATTGGATGATGTGTAAAATGAAAGTGGACAAATACTCTAGGACGGAGGGAGTAATTTCTAGAGAGTATCGTTTGGACCTCTTGAGCTCATTTTTATGTATTCCTATGAGAGCCACAAAGGGTAAAATGGTCCACTCCCTCCACAAAGAGGTTGAAGGCCGATTCGATCCTCGATCCAGCCGGTAAATCAGTACCTTAACAGATTCGATATCCGGTTGAGTTCTAAAAAATTATGGTTATGTATTTAAAAAAAATTACTACCTCTGTCCCAGTATATTTGTCCAGTTTGACTTATTCGAGTCAAACTAGACAAATTTTGAACTCCAATTACTCTCAATTTATATTGCATATTAACATAATGAAATACAATTTTAAAAGTTTTCAATACGATAAATCCAATAAAGTCATACTGTACTTATGTTAAAATACATTATAATTTTTATTTAATTGAAGCTCAAAATTTATCTAGTTTAATTCAAAAAAATAAAACTGGACAAATATACTAGAACATAGGGAGTAAATACTTAGGTAAATAGTGATAAAATATTAAAATGTTTGTTTACTCATTATATTGGAAATTTGGAACTGGTTAAGTGGCTGTGCAGGTCGCTATTAAGTACCATATCACTGGGCTCGATCAATTCACACCCGTCCGCTGCGCTCCTTGAGAAACGCTTAGATGACTTCATGGGACTCATGGGTTGCGCAAGCGATCTCCAAACTGGACTCGCTCAAACTCCTCCGGTCGCTCAGGCCAATTATTCCATCAGACGCCACCCAGCCCGGCGCGCAAGAAAAAGCCATTTCAAGCACATCGTTCTCCGGCAATGACTTCCAAGTGTTCGACGGTTTGCGCCCCTGGGACAGGGCCTCAATTGAAGTCATGATTTCCGAACCCACACTCCAAAAATGGCTGCAAGATGCACCCAGCACTGGTAAAGCTTTTCAGAGATTTTATTTGACATGTGTATAGTTAAAATTCGTACATTTAAGTAAAAATAGTCATGGGTATGTGATTTTCCAGCGAATTCTGAGTGGATTTGGACTTTGGAATACATGTTGTCTGTTTATAGGAGATGAGGCTGAATGTGAAAAGGTTTGGACTGATCATGAACTTGGGTCTTCTGGTGGAAAATTCAGAAAGTTGCTTTTATTTTCTGGAAATGATTACTTGGGATTGAGTTCTCATCCAACAATTATCAAGGCTGCAATGGAGGTGAGAATGCTTGTATTGTAATTTTTGTTGCTGCTTAATGTGATTGTTTAGTATTAACTTGCCTCACTATTTATTTTGGTTTATGTGATAAGGCAGTGCAGAGACATGGAATGGGTCCAAGAGGATCTGGCTTAATTTGTGGATATACCTATTATCATAGATTACTGGAGTCCTCTTTGGCTGACCTTAAAAGGAAGGAAGTAAGCACCTCTAACTCTACAGCACTTTAACACTCTTGTATCTCTATGGACTTAAAACTCATTAAACGGATGGATGTGACATACTTGAATCTTATAGCACCTCATGTCAACTTGAACTGGGCTCAAATAGGTTTATCGTTCTTGCGAATTTAGCAATTTTAGTTTAGTTCCTTACAAAGCTACGGAGTATTATGTTGATTAATCATACTTATGGAGTTAATTTGTGTTTTTCCTTTTAGTCTCTCTCCCCTAACTTCTATTTGAAAAACACGGTCCCCTAACTGAAATACTGAATGTTGAGTCACTTCATAGTTGCTGTAGAGTTAAAGAAATTTTGTGTGGAATAGCCAATGTGGAGCAGCATTAGAGATATGATATTTTTAACAGAGGTTGACATAAAGGGACTAAAGGAGTATAAACTGGAGGGATTATCTTAATCAACACTTTAATATCAACTAGTTGGGATCGATGACGTTAAATTTATATATTTTAAAATTAATTAAACCAATAAATTCATGCAAAAAGAAAGCGAAGTAGTGATATCATCATTGGTTATTTCCATGAGGATGGAAAATATCATGATGCGACAATGTATTGAGATATGTACTGTTCCAGTGTGCATTACAATTTACATTGTTGATATACCAAGGCCAACATCCAAGCGTGGGTGACAAGGAGAAAAGCAACAATCAATCCAGTAAAACCTCACAAAGCGGGGTCTTGGGAGGGTATATGTACACATACTTTATACCTACTCGGATAAAGTAGAGAGTTTGTTTCCAAAAGATCCTCAACTCAAGCACAAATAAAAGGACAAACTATAAAAAAAACAGTATATTTGTAGGGACGAAAAAACCCTTAAATGGTTAAGCCTTTAAACTTTGATTCCCAGTTGGACAGTGCTATTTACTGATGAGCAGTTTGCTGTGAGCCTGTGAGTGTTTATATGCCATGCTGGGGGGGGGGGGGGGGNCCTTGTATAAGTTGTAGTACTGGTACTTTAGTATATATAGTTGATTATATAGAGTGATTATTGAATGATGACATCAATTTCTATTTTAATGACTGATGCATTCTCTTGTAATTTTTTTACATACTACTAGGATTGCCTTCTTTGTCCAACAGGCTTTGCAGCCAATATGGCATTCATCACAGCAGTGGGCAGTATAAGTCTTCTCTTAGCAGCAGGTGGAAAATCTTTATTAGATGACAGAGTGGCCATATTTTCTGATGCACTGAACCATGCATCCATCATTGACGGTATACGCCTTGCTGAGAAACAAAAAGGTGTTTCTGTTTATGTCTACCGACACTGTGACATGTCCCACCTTAATGAACTACTGTAGGTTATGTTTTCCAACTCATGTTTCATTTCTGTCACCTGTTTTTGTTACACGCATCACATCTGATGACCTCTGCGTGTTTTTAACAGAACAAGTTGCAGAATGAAGAAAAAGGTTGTCATTACGGATAGGTTTGACCCTTTAGCCATTATTAACTATCCCTTACCTCAAAATATAAAGGGGAAAACTCGTATCTATTAGTATTCTGGGAGTTTAATATTTGTGTTTCCATTTCCCAGTTTATTTAGTATGGATGGAGATTTTGCACCGATGGCTGAGCTTGTCAAGCTTCGTAAGAAGCACGGTTTCTTGTTGGCAATTGATGATGTAAGCTGGATTGTTATTTTTTGTATATTTTACATATATTATTGAGCATGCTAAACTAGGGGAGACCACTTTTCACACTCATTTTGACCATAGTGTATAATTCAGCTTCAAAATATACTCCGGACTTGATTATTTCATTAAGCTAAACCATGAGAAAGGCGTGAATCTCAATTTTAGAGAAGGCGCAAGGCGCTTACTCACTATTCTGTCAAAGCGTGCATCTGCTTGATCATCTTTTACATCTTTTCTGTAATCAACCCCATTATATTGCATTTGTGTGGATTCAACATACCGTGTCCACTGAGTTATCCCTGGATTAAATAAATTATTATACGAGTAGTAAGTAGTATACTTCCTCTGCTCTATAACTATGTTCCTATCTTTTACATCTTTTCTGTAATCAACCCCATTATATTGCATTTGTGTGGATTCAACATACCGTGTCCACTGAGTTATTCCTGGATTAAATAAATTATTATACGAGTAGTAAGTAGTATACTTCCTCTGCTCTATAACTATGTTCCTATCTTGACTTGGTTCACTTCGAATAAAGTTTAAATCATACAGATGTAAGAGGACAATTTCTACAGTGTAATCTTTTTCAGAAAAGGAAAGTGGAACAAAATTTGGGACAAGAGATAGAAAATTATTGTGGAGTGAATCGCATACTTCTCTAGAAACTTCAATGTTTAATTTTTGTTTCACTTGTAGGCTCATGGAACTTTTGTATGTGGTGAAACTGGAGGTGGTGCAGCTGAGATGTTAAATTGTGAAGAAGGTGTCGACATATACATAGGTACTCTGAGTAAGGCTGCAGGTTGCCATGGCGGGTTCATCGCATGCAGGTTTATTTTCTTCCCTATCTTTGTCAGGAAGTTCTAATCTCCTATATTTAATGCATTTGTTATAAAAAAGTCAATTTCTTTACAATTACTTGCATTTTTTTATTTGAATGCTAAACCGGCAGCAAGAAATGGAAGCAACTTATACAATCAAGGGGTAGGTCCTTCATATTTTCTACATCTGCACCTGTGCCAGTTGTTGCTGCTGCATATGGTAAATCACTGACTGAGGCACTGAGCCATTCTTTAATGTTATCACTTTTCCTAAGCTTAAGGTCTGTTTGGATCTCGACAAGTATTCTAATAACGCAAACAAAATGCCATTTTTTTGTGTTTGATTTTTCTATGGAAAATGCAAAAGAAAATCAAATATATTTATGGTTTTTTTAATACATATATTCAGAGATTTCTCAATCTTTCTGTTATTCATTATACAACAGAAATAAATACACACATATCAAGAGGTAACGACAAGAACACTAATGGTATTACATTTTTATTCTTTTTTATTATGACGTCTAAGCCTTTTTTACTACCTTTGGATTTCTTAAAGAGCATAACGTTAATGTGGTACTAATTAGTAATTAGAAAGAATTCTGACACTCTGTTTAATAGTGCAAATCTTTATGCAGCTGCTGTTCTTGTGGCCAGAAAGGAGACGTGGCGTAGAAGGGCAATATGGGATAGGGTGCAAGACTTTCGCAGTCTCACTGGGATTCCAATCACAAGTCACATTATTTCCGTAATAGTTGGAAGTGAAGCTATGGCTTTGCAAACTAGCAGGTTCGTCCTTCATTTCACTTGCATCTTTTCCCTATTCTCGTCCTCTCTTACGCATCGTTTGTTTTGATATATTTTGGAAAGATTTCGGAAGGAAAGAAGTGGGAGATTTTTTTGTTTGGATCAAAAGCAGGTTGAAAAAAAACATATAGGCACGGCACAAAATCCCATATAAAATAAAAACAAAATCTCAATTAAAGAGAAATGTTTGAGTCACAAACACCTTGGTAAGAATATACACAAACTTGCCATTTATGCACCTTACCAAGTGAATAAAATAATTTTAAATAATTTAATGGTATGTTTAGGAATTTGGATTTGGTCATTTGGATTTCGAATTTTAATTTGGCTCAAATCCCATGTTTGGGAAACTAAAAAAATTTGGAATCGAGTCAAATTCTTCTACTTCATAACGAGGCTTAAATTGAAATCCAGATACCTCCTTTTGTCATTTGAAATTCAAGAATTCAAATTTTGGAATTGAAATGCATAAATTGAAATGAAATGCTAGTTCCCAGACCCTACCTAAGAGTAAAAAATTGAATACACAAATGACAAGTTTGTGTATTTTGTGATCAAGATGTTTCTGGATCTAGAATTTCTCTATTTAGATGAATCTTATTATTTATTTAATATATGTGTGTGTGTGTGTGTGTGTACACACGCATATTCAAATACGTGTGACAATAATTTTGGCAGATCCAGCCATATTTTTTAGCAGATTCAGTCATTTTAGGTCCTACCCGATGGGCTTTTATTGATCAAGATATAGATTTAGCCCTTCCTTCACAACCTTCTATCCAAACACACCTTTATTTATTTGATCATCAAAGTTCCAATGCTTCACAGGCATCTTCTGGAGCTGGGCTTCCATGTCACTGCCATTAGACCCCCGACGGTGCCCTTCAACTCCTGCAGGTAAGATCTCATCAGTGGACATACGGAACCCACATTACTTCTACGTTCAGGCCCGCCCGTGTAAATGTTCATTTCCAACTAAAATAGTCATAATTGACAATGTTTTAGTTTGGGTAAAAAATGGATTAAATCAACACGGCATATTAAACTTCCTTTGTTTCTTACTTTCAATGAAGTTGGAATAATAGTGGGTTGTTGTTTTGCTTTGCAGGGTGAGGATAACTCTAAGTGCAGCTCACAGTTTGGATGATATAAAACAGCTCACGGCGGCCCTTTCCGGGTGCATCAATTTCCGGGAGATCGGAGGGTTCTATAGCGGCCATTGCACTGCAAGAATGTAGAGCTCTCCCTGCCCACAAGGGGGGCCATTAAGGTACATCTCTGAGGTACCAACTTTGAGAAAGGTTCTTGACCAATAGAAATTCTTTGTTGCCGAAAGCAGTTGGAATGATCAGGGATTGATGGTGAATACAGTCTCCCATAATAACACCACACCTCTTTTCATATATATAATATTTCAAACTAATTTCATCCTTTATCATTTTCTTCTTTGATTGAGTTCAATACCCATGTTTCTTTTCTTTCTCCTGGTTTTATAGTATAATATATATTCTCTTTTTGTTGATTGATTAATATAGTATCATAAATTTATTTCATCCAGTATTGTTGACGTCATTTCTTCCTTTGACGAGCACATGGACGCTAATACTCAAGCATTTTATGTAATGGGAATTGTGGACAATGACCGTCCTTTGGTTTATTCAATTCATCACGATGAAGAAAAGAATAAGCACACAAATACAAGTTTATGGTTGAAATTGTCTGAAGGTCGATATGCCCAAGTCACAATAGGTCACATGTATGTACTACTACTTTTTTTTTATGAATTCCGAAGAATATTCTTATACTATATTTGAGTAATTATCCAAAATTTAATGCTTTAAAAATTCAAAACTCGGTTGTATCAAACATCTACTCATACATAACGAGCTTTGAATTTTTTAAATATTAAGTTATAAATTACCTCAATATATATGGATGTTCTTGTGGATTCGAAAATAATATAGGAGTACATACATACCTGTGGCCAGTGAGGCATGAGCATATTGACTTTTAGACCATTTGAACTTAAGTTTCTAGTTATGTACTTATTCTTTTCCTTATTGCAATGAATCTAAAAATTAAAAACGGTCATTGTCTACAATTCTCACTAAAAATGTTCTGCGTGTTGGTGTTCATGTGCTCTTTAAGGCAGAAATGTCATCCACAATATTGGATGGAATGGATCCATGATGCAATATTAATCAATCAACAAAGACAAAACATATATATTAATGTACTATACTAACAAGAAGGAAAAAAACATTTGTATTGAATTCTTATCAAAGAATAAAACGAGAATGTAATTGGTTTGGAATATTAAGGCCTTGTTTGGCATCAGCGTTAGAGATTAGCGTTAATGTTTTGAAAAAGTTACTGTATTTTACAGTTGATGGGTATATCCTTATACCCGACCCGGATAACCAAAAGGGACAGGTCAAAACATGACCGGTCACTTTTCTCAAGTCACCAAATGAGGTCAACTCTTCGATTGGGACGGGTCAAAAGTTGACCGGTCACTTCTACTAAAAAAGTGACCGGTCACATTTTGGGCGATAGCCAAAATATCACCTAATGTTGTGAAGAATTCTAAAAGACCAAAGAGACGGGTTGTGCGTAAGAAATGACCGGTCAACCTTTGAGAAAAAGATGACCGGTCATATCACTTTACTTGGCTAACATTGGTTCAGTCTCTTAGGCATGAGGAACCGCGTCAGAGGTCAAGGGGATACCCCGCCGCTCATCCATCACGAGGCATACAGTGAAAGGGATGTTTGTCATTTTGCAGGGTTGATTGGATTGAGAATATCCATTTTAGTCTTTGATTGAACAGTGCTTTTTGGTTGTATTGGTAGCAAGTCCATGATTGTATAGTGCTCCCATTATCTACAGTGACCTTCCCACGAGCTTCCTATTTTGTCCATGGATGAACAGGGGAAGGTCACAAATCCTCCTCTATAAATATGATGATATTGGATAGAGGAGGGGATCCAATTTTTCTCTCACTAAAGTTCACTCTTGAGATAGAGTAAGAAATATAATTCGGACTGAGGAGATTTACCCGGTCTAGGTCATACTTTGTGTTCTTGTTGTGTGTTTTATAT